ATATATATTTATGTTCCACCTCATTAGTCTATGTTTCCATTCAAAAATGTTTGAATATGTTTCTTGTGTATTTAAATAAAAAGCCATTTGAATACTACAGTGACCAAGATGTAATACGCGCGTCACAACAAACAAACACTGAGTCATAAGAGACGCTTCATCAGTTTACAGTATGCGTCCTCTAACAGCCTCCATGTGAACAGGCCTGGCGTTGAGCAGCAGTGCTGTACAGCTGATACTGTTTGTGTCAACGCGATGAAAGCAAAACTCGGTTCTACTTTTTCCATCCGCGCTGTTTATCGGACGGAAGAAACGTTACGTAGAGCGCGACGTGACCCGGTCACCCGCACGCGCGCGCCCGCTTGCCCCCTTGTTTACTACCGTTAGAGCACAAGTAGGTGGGATTCCTCGTCGGATCCAATTCGCTTGCCGCCGCACCCCCGCGCGCTTTCCCATTGGCTGAGTCCATGTATTAAGTACTGCGGGTTCCACGCGTTTGGACTGCAGACTGTAAACGCCAGCATCTCCCGGACTCCACTTCGCCCTTCAGCTGTCACTCAAGGATTTTATACCTCGTTTTATTATCCTTTATGTTTTTTTGGTCGTTTTGAGGATGACGGGTAAAATACGGTTCGTCCGTTCTCTGATGAAGACGGCGGCGCAGGCCAACGTGCCCAAACACATCGACCATTTCTCCAAGTTCTCCCCGTCTCCTCTGTCCATGAAGCAGTTCTTGGATTTCGGTGAGTGCGCCTCATCTGTGGCTGCCCAGCTGTGTTTACCTGCAGAGATGTTCTTGGTTGTGTTTGTGAAAGAGACAGATGGGCTTTGTGTCTCACATCTGTGCCAATTGACTGAGCACGTTCGCTTGTTTATTTTTTATTCATATTTTCTGTGCACCGCATATCTAATGAGACCTTGATGATTTGTTAATTGTGAGGATGGTGGAACATTGCTGCTGCTGCTGCTCAGGTTCAAGCAGTTCAGAGTGGTGATGATGACAATGATTTTTGTTAGGTACTGTACGAAAATACAAAATAAGAATTGCTTTTTCTTTAGACTGAATGTAGAGCAGTCTGCCTTTGTGGTAGATCAGGGCTTTCATTTGTTGTTATATTCTATAACTACAATTTTATTTCAGCCGTCCCCTGCTGCATAGTTAGTAGTTTACTAAACAGCTAAATCCATAAAACACCTTCCACTTGGAAGGAGTGGTTCATGGACAACAGTTCTGTATCTGGGTTTTATTAATGATTACATCAGTGGCTCTCTGGAGATATTTAATGTGAGGCTGGGTACACTGAGTTAGGTTCAGAGGATAGCATCAATCATTCTGCGGAGGGCTGTGCTTTTTTAAAACAAAGTGAAACCACACTAACAGTTTTGATGTAGTTTTGTTCTAATTACCAATGTTTTTCTCATGATTCAATTCATAATGAATCAGCTAAATCTTGACCCTGGTCCACTTCCAAGTTTCATAAAGCTTTCAACCACATCTCAAGGACTTCATCAGCAAGTTGAGTTCAAACTGGGGTAGTTACAATCCCCCCCCCCCCCCCATGGCCGAGCCCCATCCCATTCATTAGGTCACTTCATGAAAACTAAGCCATCTCAGTTTGCTCACCAAGACCATGAGATGCGGTTGAAAGTACCGTGAAAAGCCAGTAAGTGGACCTTAAGTTAAGAATATGTCGTCAGACTAGTAATAACTTGTTTCAAGTTCTTTTCCATTGATTTGTAATCCTCTTCTGTTCCGTGCTCCAGGTTCGACCAATGCCTGTGAACGCACATCGTTCGTCTTCCTGCGACAGGAGCTTCCTGTCCGTTTGTCCAACATCATGAAGGAGATCAGCGTGCTGCCGGACCGGCTGCTGGCCACGCCCTCGGTCCAGCTGCTCCACAGCTGGTGAGGCATAGACATGGACTATCACTGAAAGCTGCATGTATTGATTCAGAGAAAATATGACTCACTAACTTGTTTAAGGATGACAAAGCTGGACAAAATGAAGGTAAAGGATGGACAGGACTGAGCACAAGTAGTTAAGAAAAAATAGGTGTTTACATGATATTATATGAAGATATATGACCTACAATATAATAAAATAATAAACAATATAAAAAACAAAATGTCTATATACTATTTAAATATATATATATATACATTTTTATTTTAATGTTGGTCATGATGTAATACGCGCGTCAAAATATCGTCAAATGTAAGTTGTAAACAAAACCATAGTGCAAATAAATACATCAATATTTAATGGGTACACAAAAGTCATAGATCATCTTACTCAAGTAAAAATAATATTACCTGTCGTTTCTTTCTTATTATAATTAATGTATAAGTAACAAAAGTATGTGTGATATTCCACCTTTGAATCATTTTCCTGTTTTCACTTCAGGCACCGGCCGTCCTCTGACCCTTCAGACTTGTGAAACACTTTCATAACCGTGTTTTCTGCAGAGTAGGTCCTCACTTAAGAGCTGTGACGTAGTTAATCGTAATCCGATGAACAGCAGGCCAACACTGCACAGCATATACATTACAGTATATTTCAGAGAAGTGAGAGGAGGAGGGGGGTGAACTTTGTCCCAGTTCCCCCTCTAACCCCCGTCTTTCTCCTTCTTCCTCTTCTTCTGTTGCTCGCCCTGCCTGCTTGTTATTGCAGCTGAGAGGAACAGCACGTTCCGCTCAGCTGCCTCACTTTCGAGTTATAAACAGAGTCGTACTTTTAGCGTCATCCATAAGAAAATAGTAACTAGGAAAGGTGTCGAAAGATTGTGTTCTCGTCACATGAAGATGCGTACTGAAAACACTCTGGTTACATTCGTTCTCGAACTTTTGAGGCGAATTCAAGACTTGATCCATATTTTGTCATGGACGTGTGACTTCTGACCTTTGACCTCATTGTAGTTGGCTTGTAAAGTTCTCATTCTTGGGAGGTTTGGCACACACAACAATGCGGAAAAAAGGTATTTTTTGGTCTTTCAAACTGACACGATCTTGCAATGTTAAGCTGTATGATTTTATGTTTATGTTTTTATATATAGCAGATTAAATAACACAGTTGTTTTTGCCAGCTCTCTAATGTTTTCCACAATCTTGACAGCATGCTGTGGTGTCTCTGGGAACTTTCTAGGAATCGCTCACAAGAAATGAGTTCTCACCAGACTCTGATTTTCTTTGTACTCTTATTTTGAAGGGAAAACATTTTGGGACTAGTTTTAGACTAGAAACCTCAAAGACTTCTAACCAGCTGCTCATGGTCTGCTGTATGTGGGGGTGTGGGAGGGGGGTTGTTTCAGGGAACCCTAGTCACGTGCAAGTTATTTTCTTTGACAGGCACACACTTGTGCGTCAGGATCAGAGAAGGATGATAGCGTTTACATCCTCTCTGTCTCCTCCCCCTCCTCTCTCTCTTTCTCTCTCTCTGTTTTTCTGTCCTGCTCGCCCAGAGGAATGTACAGCTAATACCGTGGTGTGTGTAATGCAGTGGTGTTAATGTGATCACATGTGTGTCTAGCTACCGCTGTCTCCTGTGGATAGCCAGTGACTCTCTCCTGGTGTTTGTGTTCTCTCAGGTACATCCAGAGCCTGATGGAGATCCTGGAGTTTCTGGACAAGAGCCCCGATGACCACAGAGTCCTTGAAATGTGAGCGTAGCACACTTATGTGAAAAACAAGAGCAGACCGGGGACAAATCTGGACAGGGTAACGTTTCACTCTCAACTTTTTCCTCGAGCCTAAAGTCTGCCTTCTTCCTCTCCCTCTATCCTGTCCTCTTCCTCTGTCCTCCCCTTTTCTTTCCGTCGCCCACCGATCCCAGGTTTGTGGAGGTCTTGGAGTCCATCAGGAACCGGCACAACGAGGTGGTCCCCACCATGGCTCAGGGGATCATCGAGTTCAAAGACGCTTTCGGCCAGCAGGATGCTGTTACCGACCACAACATCCAGTACTTCCTGGACCGCTTCTACACCAGCCGCATCTCCATCCGCATGCTCATCAACCAGCACAGTGAGCAGCCACACACATACACACACACACACACACTCACAAAACTAAACGCACACTTCCAGCTGGTTTGGACACTGGAGTTGCTGCCAGGTTCTGTTCAGTTCAGATTGTGTCAAACTGTTTTAACCACACTTATAACTAACTACTACTAGTTATGGGAGTCATACTCAAATTAGAACTATTTCTTCTTTGTCGACTCTCTTGCAGCTCTTGTCTTCAATGGCAACACAAACCCCGCCCACCCCAACACCATTGGCTGTATCGACTCCATATGTAACGTGCCAGAAGTTGCGCGAGGTAAGAGAGAGAGAGAGAGAGAGAGTCACAGGTGGTTTTTGGTAATTAGGTGTATATCAGCTGACACTTGTCCTTAATTCCATCATGTTCTCATTACAAGTCAAGTCAGTTTTATTTCTGTAGCATCATATCATAACAGATGTTATCTCACTTCAGACACCTACAGTATATAGAACAGATCTAGACCGTGCTCTATAATTTACAGAGATCTAACGTTCCCCCATGAGCAGCAGTGGCAAGAAAAAACTCCCCTTTAACGGGTAGAAACCTTGAGCAGAACCGGGCTCTAGGTGGACGGCTTTCTGCCTCGACTGGTTGGGTTGAAGGAGAGAGAGGGGGAGAGGGAGAGGGAGAGAGAGAGACAAAGATGCAACAGTAATAATAATATAAATAGGACTGATAATAGTAGTAGTGAGTGTCAAGTAGGGGCCGGCAACAGGCACAGTCATTGTCGAGGTGTAACCCTGATCCATGGAATCCTGTGAGACGAGAAAGCACATAGACTCCAGGGTAGAAACAAAGTTAGTAATGGGACATTAATGGGACATTAATTCATACAGAAGGAGAGAGAGAAGAGGAGAGAGGAGCTCAGTGTATCCTAGGAAATCCTCCGGCAGTCTAGGAATATAGCAGCTTATCTAGGGGCTAGTCCAAGACAAACCTGAGCCAGTCTTAACTATAAACCTGAGCCGGCCCTAAGTATAAACCTGAGCCGGCCCTAAGTATAAACCTGAGCCGGCCCTAAGTATAAACCTGAGCCGGCCCTAAGTATAAACCTGAGTCGGCCCTAAGTATAAACCTGAGCCAGTTCTAAGTATAAACCTGAGCTAGTTCTAACTTTCAGTATTATCGAAGAGGAAAGTCTTAAGCCTACTCTAAGGGGCCCAACAACAGTGTCAAAATAGTAACACCTTGAAGGTGAAAAGTGCATTTAAAAACTATTTTTGTGTTCTATTAATTTTACAACTGCCATTTCAGAAGCAAAATAAAAACCACATCAATTAATAAAGCCAGTTGATAATTGGGTCAGAGCTGGTCAGCTGCTCATCCAGTTCGGGCCAGTCTCAATGTTAAAGCTGAAGGAGTCAGAGCAGCTGGTTGTCATCCATCACACTTATCAGCCAGGATGTGTATCCCGATGATAACCTTGTTATTTATTACATCTGTTTATCATTCTGTCGGTTTTATCGTGTCTATGCGGGTGCAAAGAATGGAGTTTTTTTTCTTCTTCCTGTCACTCTCCAGATGCCTATGAGAGCGCTAAGTTGCTGTGTGAGCAGTATTACCTGGGAGCACCAGAGCTGGAGCTGAGGCAGATGAATGGTAGGACACACTCAGAGTTTTTATCCGTTGCTAATATGTGTGTTTGTGTGCTTTTAGGCGTTGACTGTTGTTTTCCTCCCCTAGCCAACAACAGCAGAGAGCCCATCCACATCTCATACGTCCCATCTCACCTGTACCACATGCTCTTTGAACTCTTCAAGGTAACACATCATACTGCATCTGCATATATGTTATACTCTATGCAGTAGTAAGGAGTATAACTAGTATTGCTGTTCCATAAAGTTGGACGACTTGGGAGCGACAGATTTTTTATTTTTTATGTTCAAAGCTGTAGCAGCAGAAGGATTTATACGGTGACTTTTAGTCTATAGCATGGGTCAAACTCCATATCCACTGGATCCTACATTTCCCACAATGCAGCTTTGCACCCACATGTTGCAACACAGGCTTTCAGTTGATAATGTGTGTTCTCTAAGGCCCTGATCAGACAGAGCGTGTTTTGCAGGTTGAGCATTGATGTGTATTTTTGTAGAAGATAAGCGATCGCAGTGTTTGTTTGCTGTTTGATTCGTCACGTTTCTTGTGGTTGCTAGGCACCAACCAAATGACTGCTCACGTTAACTTAACACAAACCACGAACTGTACGCTACCTAAAAGTAAATAGTCCAGTTTAAATAAATGAAAACAACCGACCTGAAACCTCAAGTAAGAGCCTCAGCAGCTGTTGGTATGAAGAAGCAACCAATCATTTTCTGTTATAAGCATGTTCAGAGGATAGGTTTGTGTTTGTGTTCTAAATACTGCACCATAGTTGCTAAATTGATCCAAAATAAATATATTTTCCAACAGTGAATTCACCGACTTAAGCAATTGGTTCAGTACGGGTTTTAGAACACTGAACTTCCTTTGATATGTTATATTTGCCTTTGAAATGAAATGTTAAAACCGACCTGAATGCGTGACGTTTTGGTCCCAACAGCTGATAAGCCTCCGTGTTTCCTCTCTGTAGAATGCCATGAGAGCAACCATTGAGAACCACGTGGCCAGCAGTACCCTCCCACCCATCAAAATCATGGTCGCTCTGGGGGGAGAGGACCTATCAATCAAGGTGAGTGACTATTAAATACAGATATAACTCTTAAATCATCTTTACTTGACATCCGCAGTATGTTGGTGATGTATCTTCATGTCCTCGTATCCCAGTTTTGGACTGTCCTTCTGTTGCACTGCATGGACTTCACCCTACTGAGAGCAAGGCAAACAGATACCATTCATAAAACCCCAGAATGCATCAGCATACATCAATACAACATTTACCAAGCTTTCTGGAACATCACAGGTTGAATGAACAAGAAAGGTGTTACTTGAATGCCCCAAATTGTTAAACCAAGAATAGAAACAAAGTTGGTTCGACTAATACTTCTTAACCCCAAAAAACACAGTAATCCTCCCTGTACTACAGCCACACTAATAATAAGTATGCCTAAGGTGATTATGTAATGATTGCTGAAATAGCTTTGGAAAGAAAGTTATTTTTCTTGTCCCCATTCTGAAAGCGTTTTCAACCTTTGCCCCAATGTTCTTGTTACCCTGACTGATCTCTGTTCAGCTGCTTAATTAGATGCATAAACCCTCATTATCATCAAAGAGTCATCATCCGTCCACATACCAAACCTATTTATTGACATCGTTGCCTCCTGGCACATCATCCATCCATATTTAGACAGGAATAACTCGCACTAGCGCATTATTGTTTGATACCTACTTGCCCTAATTGCCTGCCGTTGACAAAACTGAATGTGGTTGTTAAGGGTGGAGTTACACACACACACACACGCACACACACACACACACGCACACGCACACACACACACACACGTATCAGGTATCCTGCTCTGTTTTATGCTAACAAGATAAATAGAGTTTTGTGTCCAAACTGAGATCTCAACCCTTTCTTAACATTGTAATCGTAATCGTCTTAGACACGGGGGCATGTCATTGTACTGCTGAGGACGGGGACAGCAGAAAATCCATATCAGTTAAAGTGTATGCTATATTTAGAATATTGTCTGACCGGGAACTAAGCTGAAGGTGAGACTGACTGAAAGATAAAGCGGTGAAAATATTCCAAATATAGCGTAGACCTAACGTGAGGTGGCTAAAATAGGTTTTGCCGCTGCCCCCGGTGGGACATTGCGGCGTCCACTGTAGATAATACACTGACTATGGATAAGTACCTTATACAAACCAAACTTAAATATACCCAAACCATCCCTATAATGTGTCTGTGATCTCTGTCCTCCAGATGAGTGACAGAGGAGGCGGTGTTCCCTTCAGGAAGACGGAGTGTCTGTTCAGCTACATGTACTCCACAGCTCCCAGACCCTCCATAGGAGACAAGCACAGAGCCCCACTGGTGAGCAGCTCGCACACAAACACACGCGATCAACCGCAATGTTAATACGTGAGGAGAGCTAACGTGTGCATATGTATATGTGTGTGTGTGTGTGTGTGTGTGCAGGCGGGGTTTGGCTATGGTCTGCCCATCTCTCGCCTCTACACTCGCTACTTCCAGGGAGACTTGAAGCTCTACTCCATGGAGGGTCACGGCACTGACGCGGTCATACACCTGAAGGTAACATATTGTTTACACACACATTCATGCACCAACATATTGCTCGATCAGGGCCCCATTCTCTAAATATTATTGTCATTATATTTCATCATGTACATGTACATGAAGTCTTTACTGTAAACACGACTGCACTGGCTGGGTTTAGTTTCAGGACTTGTTCCTCTGACGACATTTCATGATACATTTTAAACTGAAAATCAAAGTCTGTGTCAAATAGTTAACTATCGAATGAAGCTAACAAGGTTATTGCTGTAGCATCCCTGCATCGATCGTCTACCCTCTGTGTCCGTCTCTAGGCGTTGTCTACGGACTCGGTGGAGAGGCTGCCAGTTTTCAACAAGACCGCTTTGCGTCACTACAAGCTGAGTTTGGAGGCGGACGATTGGTGCGTTCCCTCCAAGGAGCCACTGGACCTTGCCGTGTACCGTGCTTCCAAGTGATTCGTTCATGACCTGTGACATGACTTCTGCCACAAACCCTCACAAGCTGACCATAAATAAATGTCCATCAAGAGACGGGGCGTTGTGGAACCAGAACTATTACCCCGGCGGTGGACGGGAGCTGAGGTGACCAAAAGTGGCCGAGGAGATACAAAAACAAGACGGAGCGTCTGCGTCCTGATCGTCTGGGAACTTCCTGGATTGGACCTCTCTCTGTTTTTCTTCACGTGTGGTTTGGATAGAGTAAGAGAACAACGGGGTTGACGTTTAAGATAGCGGACAGTCAAAGATGCAGTGGGCTGAACAATTTAAACATTTCATCCAAACATTAGCGACCTGTTTTGATGATTCCTTTTCATGGAGTTATTTCTAGGGTGCTTCTCAGCCAATCGGGTCTTTAGGTGTGAAAGTGCCAGCGGAATGTTTTCCTCAGAGACAGTAAGTGCACATTGACAGACAAGTGCATTTTTTTCTTTTTCCCTCAAGAAACGGAACATTTTGTCTTTCTTTAAGGTCCCTGATGTTTGAAGGTTCCTGATCGTTCTCACTCCCAACTCGTCAAATATCAAAGCTTGGCCGGTGACCCTCAGCGTCTGATACCGACGCACTCTTTAGCGACTGTATGAGACCCAACTAATCATTATTAGACTGTCAGAGCAACTGACAGGATAAAGAGCAGGAAGTCTGCATAGGGCAGAACTTTCACCCAGGAGACTGCTGTTGGTGTCCCGCGTGAAACTGTTGACTTATTTTACTCTACTTTTTTACGTCACTCTGTTCTTAACGCCTGTTACGTAACAAAAGTAAAGTAGTCAACATACTTATTTTAACCCAAACCACAATCGTTCCCGAAGCCAAACCAAGTACTTGTGTAGCGCAAGTAAACCTAAAAACTAAGTAAACCTGCCTTGGAAGTTCATTTTGAAAAGACACTACGCATGTAACAAACAGGAACTCACAAGCTTTTCATGACAGGTAATAACAAAGGGACGCTTGAGGGGTACCATAGTTTGAGGAGCCGGGCCACATACCAAGCGTTGGTATTTGACAGGTTTGCAGACAGACACTGATTAAGGATCATCTGGTTAATGTTCAGCAGGTACTGTAACAATGTCAAAGAGTTATGTAAACGTGTCTCCTGCAGACAGTAATGGTTATCCATTAATCGGCTTTGATAAAAGTGTGGAACGCCTCTCAATCAGTTAATTGTTGAAGACCTGTAACGGGTCCAGACTGCAATGAGTGTATTTGACTCTGTATGAAAATAGCTGTATGTTGATAATCACTTATATCACTGATATCGTGATTCACTGTGTGTGTTTGCAGATACGTGTGACCTTGACATGTGAAGTGTATATATTCCATTGTATATTTCAACTGTTCATAATACTTCTATTCTTTATGAAGAAATGTTTGGAAAATAAATCGTCCTTAATTTACCTTCTGTCATCAATATTATTTGGTGAATTCATTTCTGCTGATTTAGGGTTTCTGGCCGCAGTTTGTTGTACGGTAGTCTTAATGAAAGTGTGTGTGTGTGTGTGTGTGTGTGTGTGTGTCTCACACAGGCCATGAACTGTGCGGCTGTCCAATCAGGCACTGAGTTTTATTTGCCCGGTATCAGACAGAATTGTCAACTCGTTAAACTGGAACTCAGTGGAGTGGACAGATTCCAAGGTCTGGACACAGTCAAGAGTTATATAACAAGATGTGCAATAATGTGTGTGTGTGTGTGTGTGTGTGTGTGTGTGTGTGTGTGTGTGTATTTCTTCGTGTAGATGACCTGGCATAGCTTACAATAGCACAAGGGTTAATGCAGGGACTTTGGCCACCATGCCAGGTGTGCTTGTCGGGACTTCAGGTATCACGCAGTGTGTGTGTGTCTGAACATGAGTTTAGGTGTAGTCCTCTAAGAGCTGTCGCTGTTGGATACATTCTAAGCAGCAACTTCCGAGGCCGAAAGAATTGAGCCAAAGCAAAGTGCTAAAAGCAGAAATTCATCAAATGGGCGCTTGAGGATGGCTCCAGAAGCGAGTCAATCCCCATACACACCAATGCTAACATGCCCAACTTTACAGCAGAAATAAACATGTTTACAGCCTAGAACAAACAACGTTTTTGGTCTCTGTTTATATTACTCACTCTTTTGAATTTCGTAGAGGCTTTACATGAGTAAGGGCGTGGCCGCTTAGAGTTACAGGTGGGTGCTGCACAGACGCTACCTGTCTGCTAGGTGTCACCTGAGCTAATTCGAGTCACTTGATGTGTGTTTAATTGTACGCTGGTCATCCTGCTGGTCAACATGCAGGCGATGTTCAATTAGATTTCAATTCAATTTATTTTGTACAGCCCAAAATCACAAATCTGCCTTAGAGAGCTTTACAATCTGTACGCATAGAAGTCTGGATGATCCGTTTTTAACAGGATATCAGGAACTATAACATCCGTGAAACTTGGTTAAATTCTAACATCACTATTATTTTATTCATCTTTTAGCACTGGGACCAACCGGCAACTGAGAGCAACAAGACCACAGGGTTAACGTTAGCCGGCTAGCAACACAAAACTGAGATAAACTCGGAGGTATCATCCATATTCTGCTATCAGGGAATTTAAATGAGACAGTGCAGACTAAAACCTACTACTAGTTCAATCAGGAGAGACAAGTCAGATGAAGAAAAGATAATTGTTTATCAATAACCGATGATATGTGATGATAAAGTCTTCAGAGTCTTTGGTGCTTGGACTCTGCAGGGAGATTTGTAATTGAGGGGTGTCTGCCTGAGCAGCAGCAAGATAACCCCCCGTGGAGTCCAGACACTAGTGGGGCTGATGAGGCTGATAGAATGATGAAGCTGATGAAGCTGATGAAGAATGGGCAGAGATGGGGAGGTGGAGGGGTGCGTAACAGCAGCATGAACGTACTGAAGGTAGACAGACAATCATATTTAAATGAGACAGCAGCAACATGATAGGCTAACGATGTCATTGTTTCATTGTGCTATTGGATAGAAGAGACCAGCTGATCTAGACAGCTGATATCATGACTGACAGCCTGAAACAATAACAGCAATGAAATAATGAGTGAGCATGAGTGAGAAGTGAATGACAGATGTATGAGAAATAAACTGCAAGACTACACATACAGTACAAGAGTATAGTCTTCCTGACTGAACTTACACTAGAGCTTCATTTGCAAGTACTATTGCAGTATTATTGAGCGTACATAATACAGAGGGCAAAATTATCGTTACTTTTATTTATCATGTGTTGAAGATGTATTTATTAAAGATCTACAGTACGTAAGTGGAGGAGACAGGGATTTTCTGGAAATCTGATGATTTTGTATTGTGTGTCTGTGGTTTTACAACAATATTTGTCATTCTGCTAAAATCAAACTACAGTTTACAGTTTCAAGATGAAACAAAAGCCTTCGGTACAATCACAGCTCAAATGTCTCCGTAAGTCCATCACACTTAAAACTTGCCTTGAATGAAAGACAAACACCGGTCACTGGGGTGCTCCAGTCAAATCTATATAAGTTTACGAACTTCTGAAAGTCCACTCAACCTGTGATGTGCTGAGTGTGCGGCTAAGTCTGATACAACAGTTGACTGCACACACACACACACACACACACACTCACACACACACACACACACACACACTAATGCACTGCAGGGTAGTCTGAACCAGTTATGTAATGCGTGAACAAGCCAAATGTTGTCCCTGTTACAGCAGAACATGGTCCAGGTTACCCTGCACTGTATTTGTACTATTTGTACGTGACATCTGACACATCAATAATATCTTACACCAACAAAAGCACAAAAAAGTCTGTTTTCATCGAATGCTGTTAAGGTTTTCTCATCAACCCTAACGTCCTGGGGTCCTGGAGCCCCTCTGACACGCGCGGCGTCACCGGCGCTCCTTTCAAAGGTTGTAGCTTCCTCAGTTTTGAAGCTAAAGTGAAGATACTGTTATCAATGAAACTGATACCAATTCAAAGACACTACTAGACGATTACTGCCTCATGAAACTTTACAACGACAAGCTAAAGACCTTGGTCTTGGGGTTTTTGAGCATTCTCCAGAAAAGAAGTGCTCGCCATCCAATCCAAATAAAATGTTCCTCTTACAGAAATCTGAATGTCAAAAGCTTTTGATACCAAATCACAGCAGGACTTCTTTCTATCAAGGTTTGTTGTCTTAATGTGACATTTTATGGGAATTTTCTATCACTTTCATCAATTCTCCAGCGGTCAAAAATAGTTAAATTTAGCACCAAATCTGTGCAACAAATGGTATTTGCCCAGAAATTGCTGCAACAACTTATGAGACATAAAAGAACAAGGGGATGCCCCTCATCTATTTGTATCATAAAGTTCTAAGCCCCTTTATACTTTCACAATTTATTTCAATAATTAATGAATACATTTTTATTGCAGATGTATCACTAGAACAACACGATACTCCACCATGGTACCACTAAACTTGGTCGATGTGGGTCTCAGTTAAAGCCTCAAATGCTCGACATCATCACCTTGATATGTCTTGACTTTTCCTAACTTTGAACCTGCTGATTATCAACATGTTTTTGAAGCGATGGCATGTTTTAGCAGTCGGCCACAGAAAAACAGAAGAAAGCACTTTTCCCTCGAATGGTAATTGAAAATGCAGTTTCTGAAAATAATAATTTTGCAGTTACCAGTGTTATGATTTACACATACAGCAGCGGGAAGTCAGCCAATAAAAGACACGGTATAACTGGGACTCTTGTCACCTTGACTTCTTTCACTCTGTTAGCAGAAAGTTCGGCAGCTGAAAGAGAAACAAAGCAGTGAACTGTGGGGATGTGATCCACAAAGCAGTGAACTGTGGGGATGTGATCCACGAAGCAGTGAACTGTGGGGATGTGATCCAC